CCACGGTGGCGGCAACACCCATGGTGGACACGCTGGTGCCATGGTGGTGGCAAGGCCCATGATGGACACACTGGTGCCCAAGGTGGTGAAAATACCTGTGCCTACCCTCAGCACTGCCCCATCCCCACCCCATCCCACACCCACCTTCGTGGAAGTTGCAGTAGACGCCGATGCAGTCAGGCACGGGCACGTCCAGCACCTTGGCCTTGTTGGCATGCTTGGCGCTGAAGCTGACCTGCAGCCAGTTGTTGAGGTGGAGGCACCAGGAGGCTGAGGTCTTCCCCAGCTGATCGAATTTGCCCAGGCTGCGATATGCCACCCCCACGCCAAAAACTTTGCTGTCCCGGTCGTACCGCACCTCCCAGTAGTGGTCGTCCCCATCGATCAACGTGTCACCTGCAGGCACCGGGCACGGCTCTGCCTGGTGCACCCACAGGGTGCCCCGTCCTGTCCCCAGCCCCGACAGGTCCCTCTGGGTGCCCCATGCCCACCTCCATCATGCCCTGTGCTCTCAGAGCCACCCTCTCCCCTCCGTGTCCCCCATCCCCTCCGGCACCCCTGGTTGTCTGCAGGGTCCCCACCAGCACCCAGTGGGTGCCCCTGGCTCTCACCCAGAACTGTGTAGGACTCGGCAGTGAAGCGATCTCTGCCCCCGCGCCCCGAGGGCATCCTCTTGGGCGACTGCACCACCCTAGGACAGATGGATGCCAGTGAGGAGGGTAGGGCTGGGTTGGCATCACCCAGGGTGGGCAATACTGGGGTGACAAGGGGTGGAGGGTGACATTACCTGGCCGGTGAGTTGGCAGGTGAAGCTGTCCTGCCCTTGCCATCCTTCTCGCGGGCCTTGACGTCCTGCACCTTGCCACCCGTGCCATCCCACTCCACACTGAGCTCCTCCACGCGCAGGTTCTGGTGGGAGGTGCTGGCGTCCAGCCGAAACATGAACGCTGGGGACAGCCACCGTCAGCACATCCCCCCCCACCTCCCACCTGGCACCGAGGGCTCATAGACCCCTGGCACACTTGGGAAGGAGCAGCATGGGGTGGTACAAGGTGGGGGTGACGGGTGCCCTGCCACCCCCAGCTACCCACCTCTAGTTTCCAAAGTGACTGGCTCAGAGAACTCGCCTGCCACAGCCTTGTTGCACGCCCGTACCCGAAAATTCATGTACTTCATGTCAAACTTCAGCCCTGTGGGCACAGCAGGGTCACAAAGTGGGGCACTGCACCCCTATGTCCCCTACAAAGCCTGGCACTGCCACCCAGCCCCCTGGGACAGCCCCAGCCTCCGCCACCTGCCATGCCCGCTCCCAGCCTGGCACACTTGGGGCCAGTTTTGCCCCCACGCCCTCACCGGAGAGGGTGTACTCGGTGCCCTTGATGCCCTCGACCACCATCCAGGGCTGGTCCTCCTTGGCACGGGGCGGCCCCTCGAAGTTGGTCCTGCGATACTCCAGCACGTAGTGGTCGATCTTGCTGTCCTCGTCGGGCATCCTCCAGGCCAGCGTCACACAGTTATCGGCCACCAGCGATTCCGCCAGGTCGATCTCGGGGGTGCTGGGCACTGCCCACAGGAGCAGCCATGCCAGTGTCCCCCACACACACTCACTGCAGCCCTGCTGCCAGCCAGGGTACCCCCAGCACCCCCAGGGCACCCATAGGTCCCATGGCCTCGGCACCTCAGAGACCCCAGGCATGGCACCCGCAGGATCCATGGGCACAGCACCCTTGGGACCCCATGTGTAGCATCCCAGAGACCCCCAAGTGTGGCACCCATGGGCACTGCACCCTAGGGATCCCACATATGGCATCCCAGAGACCCCGAGCATGGCACCCACCTCATCCCTAGGCACATTGTCCAACCCCCCCATCATCCCTCCATCCCTGGCACCTTCTTGCCCCTCTGGATGAGACACCACAGGATGCCCCAGGCCTGGCGCCCCCCCCTCGCTCTTCACCCTCTCTCCTGGCACCCAGCAGACCCCTTACACC